TGGTCAATATGATTGCAAACAATGCACGAATTTGATTTGGATGTGACGTGTTAGACGCGTCATTAATGCATACTTCCTAGTGTCGGTCGTTCTCCAATTAATTTCGAGCTTGACATGCACTACGGAAAGTGGCATGTGTTACGCCGCTGACAAATCTCAATTGCTGGAAGACGTGTACTCAGGCACATTTACCAACAGCATGCGAAGAAAGAAGCATTCATCTTGATTGGGCACAGTGGATGTCTGCCTATCGTAGTTTATTTCAATATGCCAGGTTGTCCGTCGACTCGCTCTCCTCGTTTGCACCAGTCAAATGATTTTCTACTGGCATTCCACGTGTAATACGTAGGCACTTCTTAATAAAACAGTGTTTTTGCAAACGCGTCATTTGACATAACGTGAAGAAAGCACTTAACGTTGTAGCCTGTGCATTCATAGCTGTTTGTTGCACATTTGCAGCTGTGAAATAAACGTGTTTTCTTGTTTTATTTGTTTTCAAAACACAACCTAAAAATACTGACGAAATATTTCAATTCAAACGTAGATAAATCGACACAGCTCAATTTCACCACCAGTTGCACTGAAAAATAAGAACAGTTAAAAAGCGAAATGAAAAACAATGAAAAAAGAAACAAATAAACTATACTCACGAAATGAACTCTATGGTAAATAACGCAGCTCATTTCGAACTCAATGTCACACAAAATAATTAAATCTAAATGAAAATAAATCAAAATCTATGAAAAATCAATTCATCACTGCAATCGGAAACATTGGAATGAAATCGTAACGTATTTTGAATAGCGTGTGTTGCTCTTACGTGCAACATATGGCGCTGTTTAAAAAAAAAAACGTTTTTTACCTGACAGAGATGTGGCATCTAAATAGTAGGTATATAAAATATAGGTATATATTTTCATATAAAAATAAAGATTATCAGTTTAATTGGAAACATTGAAATGGAATTTGTGACATATTTAGTATAGTATGCATGTTGCTAATATGTGCAACAGATGGCGCAGTTTTTCAAAAACGCATGTTTTTTTTGTCACAGAGGTGGCATCTATATAGTAGTTATACAAAAAGACGTGCCTATTCGAATGCAACGTTGTGTCAAAATTTCAAAGCAATCGGTGAAGAGGTTTCGAAGATTTCCCTCACATGAAAAACACAATTTTTCAGAAAAAGCATGTTTTTTGACCGTCACAGACGTGAAATCTATATAGTATGTATATAAAAACCGGGCCGGATGTGAATGGAATATTATGTGAAAATTTCAAAGCAATCGGTGAAGAACTTTCGGAGATTAGCGATTTTGAACAAACGAACATTTCCATTTTTATTTATATAGACTAGCTGCACCCGGCCACATCAACCTATCCCTGTCTCCCAGTGCTCCCCACCATTCCCCTTCCCCCGTCCCCTCGTCCTCCCACCCATTCCTCACTCCCCCCTGTCCCATCGTCCTCCCCACCATTCCCCCCCTCCCCTGTCCCTTTCTCCTCCCAATTATCTCCCACTCCCCCGTCCACTCGTCCTCCCTACCATTCCCACCCCCCCTCCCCCGTCTCCTCGTCCTCCCCAAAGACTCCCATTCATCTGTTCCCATGTCCTCCCCAGCATTCTCTATTACCCTGTGCCCTCATCCCTACCATCCCCAACCATCCCCCGTCTCAATGATTTTGGAAACATTAAATGATCTGATGTTCCCATCACTGAAATATAAGAAAAACAGTCTAAAACAAAATAAACAAAAACAATGAAACAAAAATAAACTTTACCCACAAAATGAATAGTATGGTAAACAGCAATGCTCAATTTCAATGCAATATCACACAAAATAATTAACTCAAAACGAAAATTAATCGATATCTATGAAAAACAATTTATCAATGAAATCGGAAACAATGAAATGGAATCATAACATATATATTAGAGCATGTGTTGCTCTTAAATGCAACAGATGGTGCTGTTTTTCAAAAGAAGCATGTTTTTACCTTTCACAGGTGTGGCATCTATACTTATACTCTCGAAAAGAACGGTATGGTAAACAAAACAGTTCAGTTCCAACGCAATGTCACACCAAATAATTAAATCAAAATGTAAATAAATCGAAATCTATGAAAATTCAATTTATCAATGCATTCAGAAACATTGAAATGGAATTGTAACATATTTAGTATAGCGAGTGTTGCTATTATGTCCAACAGATGTCGCTGTTTAAAAAAACAACATGTTTTTTCCTGCCACAGATGAAGCATGCATATAGTAGGTATATGAAAACATGCGCCTATTTGAATGCAACATTGTGTCAAAATTTCAAAGCAATTGGTAAAGAGGTTTCGAAGATTTTCCTCACTTGAAAAAAAATGAAAGACACAGTTTAAAAATAAAAATCTGTCTCAGGCATGATATCTATATAGTATGTATATAAAAACCCGCTCGGATGCGATATGAACGTTGTGTGAAAATTTCAAAGAAATTGGTGAAGAACTTTCGGAGATTTGCGATTTTGAACAGACGAACATTTCCATTTTTATTTATATAGACTAGCTGCACCCGGCCACACTTTGCTGTGGCTCAGCAGCAACCTTTCTCTGTCTTCCAGTCCTCCCCACCATTCCCCCCCTCCCCAACCTCTCATCCTCTTAATCATTACTCACTCCCCTGTCCTCTCGTCCTTCCTACCATCCCCCCCCCCCCTGTCCCTTTGTCATCCCCCCATTCCCCGTCACTCCACTCCTAAGCATTCCCCACTCAACCGTCCCTGCTTCCTCCCCACCATCTCCCACTCCCCTGTCCACTCATCCCCCTACCATTCCCCCTCCCCTCCCCATCCCCTCGTCCTCCCCACAGTCCCCCATTCGCCTGTCCCCATGTCCTCCCCACAATTCTCTATTACCCTGTCCCCTCATCCCCAACTTCCCTGTCCCTACGTCCTCTCCACCATTCCCCCTACCCTGTCCCCCTGATCCTCCCCACCATCCTCCACTCCCGTCCCCTCGTCCTTCCCACCATTCCCCACTCTCTCGTCTGATGCATTCCCAAATGATTTGATGTTCCCATCAGAAAATTGTAAACATTAAATGATCTGATGTGCCCATCACTGAAATATAAGAAAAACAGTTAAAAACCCGAAATATAAACAATGAAAAAATAAAAAAATATAAATAATACTCACAAAATGAATGGTATGGTAAACAACAAAGCTCAATTTCAATGCAATGTCACACAAAATATTTAAATCTAAATGAAAAAAAAATCTCCATCTAAGAAAAGTAAATTTATCAATGAAATCGGAAAAAATTATATGGAATCGTAACATATTTAGTAGAGAGTGTGTTGCTCTTAAGTGCAACAGATGGCACTGGTTTTCCCAAAAAAACACGTTTTTACCTGTCACAGGTGTTGCATCTATACTTATACTCACGAAATGAGCTATATTGTAAACTACACAGCTAAATTCCAATGCAATGTCACAAAAAATAATTCAATCAAAATGAAAATAAATCGAAATCTATGAAAATTCAATTTGTCAAAGCAATCAGAAACATTTAAATGGAATCGTATTTAACACAATTTAAACAAAAAAAATATGTTTTCTCCCGTCACAGACGTGACATCAATTTAGTATGCATACAAAATCCCGCGCGGATGTGAATGAAACGTCGTGTGAAAGTGTCAAAGCAACCGTTTCAAAGAGACGTATGAGGTGTAGCTCAGTACTACACCCCTCTCTATCTACTCTCTTGTTCATCTTTCTTCCTCTATTCTCTCTCTCTATTCTTCTCCCCCTCCCTTTCTGTCCCATTATATTCCGAAAGTCCAAACATTCCTCATCTCATCTCCTCTTCTGTCTCCTCTCATTTCTCACTTCTCTTTCCTTTTCCTTTCTCTTCTCTTCCCTGTTCTAGCTATCTTTCCCCTCCCTCACCTCTCTTTACGTATTCCCTTTTTCCTCTCCTCCCCACAATTTCCCTTCTCCCTTAGCATCCCCCACCTCTCCTACCATCTCCCTCCTTTCAACCCTTTCCTTTCCTCTCCACCTCCTTCTTCCAATCTCTTCCCCCTTTATCCTCTTCCACACTCTCCACCTTTCATCCCCTCTCCTCTCTCCTTCCCTCTTCCTTAACATCTCTTCTCTCCCCGTCCCCTTTTACCCTTTTCTCTCTTACAAGATTTAATATTACAAAGCTCCGTTAAGCTGTTAAAAAACTCTATGAAAATTAAGTTGGCTATTTCAAACCATGAAAACTGCATAGGTCTTAATGAGTGGCACTAGAGCTAAGCCCGACTAGCTTGTGGCACTCCTCTACCCCCCTAATGTTTTATCTTGCAAAGTTGAATGAGGCTAGACCCTAAGTGTCTGGCTTCCTACTTAGGACAGAACAACAAACAACATATATTCTCTTTTATATAAATTAGAGTCTTTAGGAATTCATAGTTAATCTATTTGATTTGAAAGGATTTTATTTAATACGTTTCATACTGTTCAGGAGCTTCAGCATGACGGTCAAATGCCTTCATGCTCGGTATTGGCAGTTCTATACACACTCTAGTGGCAAATAAGTCAGTGATATAAGAAATATTTATTACTCCAGCAATTTAATGAGTTTGATGATATTAATGAAAATAGCTTTAACTTTGCTTAGCTCTTTGAGCATTTTGATTAAAAGGATGGCAGATTACCGGAGTTTCATTATATAGTTTTCTCTGATATGATGAAGGTTTCTTATAAAAAAATAGGAAAAATTTGTTTTTTGTTCATGTAAATGAATGTAAAGTTGAAATGTAAAATGTAGAAAATCCACAGAAGCCGTGATGAAGATTCGAACCTATGCGCTAGTATTCTCAGATGCACGCTCTAAATCTAAGCACGTGTGGAATGATCTAAACGTTCCTGTGGATTTTCTCATTAATATTTCGCGATAATGTGACTTCTCTGTGTATTTAAATTGTAGGTTCAGAAATATGTCTAGTTTCTAACATTGATAATTTACCTTGGAAAAGGTCGTCCCAGGGAAGGTCGAATGAGTTGATGTTCATATTGTGGACGAGTTGGGCGTCAGCTTCCCCGTTGTTGCAGTATAGACACCGCCTGTACACCCTCACGCCACTGTTTATTGAAGCTGCTGCGGTCGGGACAAAAATTGTGTTCGAAAATACAAATTATATCATACAATATATATTTATACTTTCATTCAAATGGACATGTCATGTAAAATGTATTTTATGTGACGGTACCCAACAGCGCCTGGATACTGTATGTCTTTCTTCCTCACATTATTTTATTATCCATCACTCTCGTATTCCCCCCCCCCCCTCCCTCCCTCCCTCCCTCCCTCCCTCAATCTTTCCCATTCATGCCTCCTGTTCTCACATCCTCGCATTATCCAGCCTTCTCTCTCTCTCTCTTCCTTTTCTCCCAATGTTCCTTCCTCCATTCTATTCTATATTGATTCATCGTTATTATGTCCATGTCCATTCATCGTCAATAACAGCCGTAAAATCTAATGATAAACACTCTTTAGATAATTAAACTAGCATTTTAGACTTCGTAGGAAAGGAATTATCGTAGGAAGGCGTCAAGTCGTTGTTGTTGCTCTTTAAGATTCAGCTACTCGGAACAAAAAGTTCCAAGTAGCGCGGGCTATGGTGAGCCCGTAGTGGACTTAACTGTCACAGAAGCGGGGCTGTAACTTGAGCACCAAGCCATTACGACTATATAGCACTTGGAAGGGATCAAATTACGGATTTGGGATGGGACGGAGGGAAGGAATGGTGGAAAGGAATTCAATGCCCCATCTATACGGTCGGGGATTGAATGTTGACCTGCGTCGGAGCCGTTGATTGTCTCAATAACAACCAAACCTACCTAAGGACTGGCAGATCTCGTATTTTTCAGGCCCGAGTTCGAATCTCCAATGGTCCAAGTGAATGAAATGTTTTTACCTCCTACAGTGAGAGTAAGATAAAAGATGGTTTTGTGTTGTCAGGAGGGAGGGGGTCACCCGACCAGTCTTTACTGATGCGTTGAAAAAGATACGTGGATCTCGTTTCTTGGGAGAACCTATATATATCGTGTGTTGAGAACATCATACACAGAGTGAGTCTGTTTACAAGTGCATGATACATTCAACATTGTGCATTGACATACAAGAAAATAATCCCAGTGCATAAGTGTCATCCTGAACCCCTTCAATGTAAAACGTGAACAAGCCCCCCCATCTTGGGCAGTGCCCACTTTACCCCCTTCTCCTGCTCCACTTAAGGTGGCATATCGATGTAAAATTAAAAGTGGTTCAATTTGCTTATATTTTTTTTTATGAAATGGTTATAGAAACGGCTGCAGCTGGTCCAAGTTTTATCAACACATCCTAAACAGAAAAGGAGAAAAAAAATAAACAACGAATTATGCAACGAATTTTCAAATAGTTTCAGGGAACACATGTGTCAACTAAAATCATTTCTATAACACTCAAATATTAAATTAAGCACATAATAAAGGATTCTAGTGATCAGTTTTATCAAAAAGTGTTTAGTGCAATAATATAATTTTTCAAAGTTACCCTACTAAAAAAATATGCAATATATGATATTTATGAATTTTTATAAAATCAACAAATAGACTTTGGACTAAAATATCTACTAGAGTCTGTAGAAGCACAAACGCTACATATAAGGTGTAATTTGCATGTACATTGAATAATAAATGAAAGCTCTAAAGTAATTTGAAGGTGTAAATTACTTTCCAGAGTAAAATAAAGATCCAAGTTCGGCCACCTGTAGCTGAGCTTGACTTCGACAGATTTCGTTCATAATTGGCACCCGTGCAGATAGGCATCCATTGAGCAAGGTGTGCAAGTTCCATGCAAATCCCTTGATAACAAACGAGAAAAAAAATTGGCCAAAAAAAAAAATAAAAAAAAATAAAAATAAAAAAAAATAAAAAAATTTAAATATAAATATATTGAACATACATATTACAATTATTACAAGAGTTTGTGCTTCTACAGCACATAGTAGACATTTTAGTTGACACATGTGTTCCCTGAGATTATTTGAGAATGTTGAACATTCATTGCATAATACGTTGTGTATTTTTTTTCTCCTTTTCTGTTTAGGGTGTGATGGTGAAACTTGGACCAGTTGCAGCCCTTTCTATAACCATTTCATAAAAAAATTTATAAGCAAATTGAACAATTTTAATTTATAACTATATTTTTTGATATGCCCCCTTAACCACGGTAACCCCCCTCCCCCGTTTGGCCACCTTGCCACTGAGCTCGGGAGGCTCCCAAAAGGTTCCCAACGTCTAGAAAACAGTTAAATTAAAGTGTCTTCTCCTAACCTACCAGAGGGCCTAAAATAGAAAACGGGACAGTCTGTCACTTTCACGAGCCGCTTCCATTTTCTAGTACGACAGTTTTAGACCTTATGTAACGCCTACGATCACCATGCGACGTTCTTTGAAAGAGGACAGGCTGCTCCCACCTACCACCACCATTCACCAACCCACCTACACCCATATATTGATTGAAAACACTTGTTGCCCCAGACATGTAAGTGGTGACTACCGATGCTGCCGATCATTCCTGTGGGCCCCTCCCGTTGTCCACCCTCGAAGCCAGCACCTGCCCATGTCACAGGCCATAAGAGCAGCAGTAAACTAGGCATATGTAGAGTGTGAGACATAGCATATAGTTTCAATCAAGACGTCACTGCGTATCAACGTTCCTATAACCAAATGAACAACCCACACCATTGTTAGAGAAAACATCTCCCCACTGTTTAATTTCGACAGATATCGTACTTTATCTACAAGGCGACGTCGGCTGGAGCCTTGAAACATATCCCAAAAGCAGCTGTCCCTCCTGAAGCAACCATACTTTTTAACCTGAATTCCCTTGGGAGTCTTTAACCCTTGACTCATGTTGCTAACATGAGGTTAGCAACAAACCTAAAGACTCATTAAATTCTAAGCCTAAGTTTAAAGACTCCCTAAATTCTAAGTCTAAGTCTAAAGACTCCCTAAATTTATATCTAACTTATTCCCAAGCAATAAAGTAGGGAATACGAGGGGCCCCCTTTTTGAATTTTGGGAGCGAGATGAAGCATGCAATTCCCGTAGACCTTCCTGAATACTTCCCAGTAAATTGATGTACTGTGCATACAGGAACCATACACTGCAAACACAAAAAATAAAACGCCAACCAAACTCTCAGGTTATGTAGCTTTCTCAAATGCTGGTTCACATGATGTCGGTATCTTGACGTATGTTAATAGTAACCTAGTATGTGAACATGTTAAAAACCACAACAGTGACGACTCATATTACCAGCAGTTTCAGAATGCTACAGCGACCGGCTTTATTAAATTAGTTAATGTATATGTAAGGTGCGATCAAATGGTGGAAGCTTCTCTTCCAAAAGTCACCAGCAGCTCTCAATCCATTGTCATGGGTGATTTTAATGCTAGACACACTAGCCTGGGTGACACCAAAACAAATAGAAATGGTAGGGTTTTTGTGATATATCTAAGAGACTATAACATGTCCGTATTCAACTATGACGCCTTTAACGTCACACATCTTGTGGGTGGCAGGCTTGATTAAGTCATTGGTCACGGTCTCATTGATAATGATGTCGGAGGATCAATTGTTCACGAATTAGTTAGTGATCATTTTGCCATATTCAGTTGATACATTATCAATAATGTCAAATCCCTAAACTTTGACAAAAATAATTAATATCCCTGAAAATTTTCATATGCACTTCAAATTCCGCATTTCCGAATGGTATAACATTTACTACTTTACTACTGTCAACTGTCAATGCATTATATGAGGACCTGGTCATTGAATTAACCACTTTTTATGACAATATTGTAAAATCCATAAGACCCAAAACAGTGAGGAAGGGACAGAGGTGGTTCACTGACTCACGCCTTAAGCCCCTGCATGACAGAGTTCTCATCTTCGCTGACCAGTATAAAACTCATAAAACAACTGACTCCATCAACATATTTCTTAAGACCAGCCGACAGCTTAGAGAGCTAAAGGAACAGGTGTATAACCAGCACTAGAAACAGTTTTTGCAAGGCATCGATCATGCAACATCCTCATCCTAAGTGTGGGATAAAATGAAAAAGATTTCTCATCCTAGCAGTCGTCAACTTGATCACCATTCACCAACAGACTATGCCGACATGCTGCTTAAACAATATGCAAGCTCTGCCAGTATAAGCAGCCTGCCCCTATATGTACAACACCATCTGGCTAGTACCAAAATAAATCGTAACTTCAATATTGAAATTGCCTGTAGTGAAATAGGGCCTGATGATAACTATGGCATAGCCCCCTTTGAAATTAAACATGCATTCAAGAAAGGTAAGGCTACCTCTCCTGAAACGGATGACATCACATACAATACCATGAGAGTACTTACTGAGCTGCCACATTGCCCTTTGTTAGAACTGTTTAATCAAAGTCTAAGGCAGGGTGTCTTACCTGGCCGCTGGACACAGGGACTCATAATTCCCATACCCAAGCCTAATTCACAAAACTTCAGACCCATTTCTCTGACGTCGTGTAAAGTTCTTGAGAGGATTATACTCGGCAGACTAATGTTTCATATCAAGCCCTATCTTGCTCCTAACCTGTATGGTTTCTTTCCTGGAAGAAGCACACAAACTTGCTTTGCTGAATATTTTATCAGAGAGGGACCAGGCTCTCAGACGGCATTTATTGATCTTCAAACTGCTGTTGATACAGCAAACAGAGAAATAATCTTAGAACAACTAGCCTCTTTTGGAGTTAAGGGAAGATTGTTGATATGACTCAGGGGTTGCCTGAGTAACAGATCCGCCTCAGTCCTTTTCAAGGAGGTCAAAAGTAAACTATGTGCACCCTTTGAGCTGAGTACACCCCAGGGTGGAGTGCTAAGTCCAACACTGTTCAATATTCTGATGCACAAATTAACAATTGATATTCCCACACTACCTGACGAGGCCGTCATCTGTTATGCCGATGACATACGTGACGTTTGGGTATATGTTGCAAATACCAAAGCTAGACTGCAATCTCTACTTGATTCACTCGCTGCTAAAAAGCATTGAATGTGGTCTTATTATC